TTAAAGAAATGTTGTCAAGTTGACAAGGGGTGGATTGTGATAGTTAACTGATTGAATCACCTTGAGTAAGTAAAGCTAAATTAAGTTGAATCACCATAGTTCTGGGTGCGGCTGAGGGGATTTATTGAAGATTGAAGACCCACCCTGGGTAGGTTTGTCACCTGAATAGGATAAAAGAGAAATGAAGAAGGAAGGCTCACTTCTCTTTCTTTGGAGGAGCTCCAGCCTTCGCCTTCATCTTGGACATCATCTCGGCTTCCATCATAGACCCTTTAGCCTTCTGATATGAGCTCACACAGGACACTGAAGTGAGCTTCTGGCCTTTACTTGAATCCTTCACATCTCCAGTGTGAAGAGAAACCTTTTTCACTCTTCCATACCTGACTGTGGCTAGTCATCATATGTCAGCCTTGTAAATTCTCATATATTTGTATATCTTGCATTAAATCTGTTCCTCTAGTAAACACTGACTGATACAGCAGTTGTATATAATCAATTAGTAGAATCTCTCATTTTTGGTTGAGTGACTGCTTCTTCTACCCAACATTTAGAGCTAGGAGTGCTATCAAATGCTCCTAATCAAATGCTTATAATATCTTCAATTATCTGCATTTAAAGAGGGGCATCTATTTCCCTCGCGGATCTGAAATAATCTCTTCTCTACCTGCCTCTCTCCTTCTTTCCCTCTCTGTCTCCCAATGTGGGGGCGGGGGGAGGAAAGAACCATCCTAGTCCCTTTAGATCTTCTTAGTTCTTGTGCCAACAGGTCTCAACTTGCAAACCTGGTGTTTTTTTTTCTTTGTTTTCTATTCCCGACTTCTTTCCAAACTCTTTAAATATATTTCCTCATTTAATTCCAACACTAAACCATAGGTATCATTATAATGCAATTTTACTGCTGGAATCACTGAAGCACTGAGAAATTGATGTCCTTAACTGAGGTTACATGACTAGAAGTAGCATGTGAATTCTAACTTAGGTGGACATATTTCAGAATGTATATTCTGAACTACAGTGTACTATTTCAGGGGTTAGGCAGTTTACTGAGCCATATTGAATGTTCAACACTGGTCCAAACATCTTGCTAATGAGGTATGGGTGGAGAGCCAGGATACTATGATTTGTTTTATAATGAGTTGGGCTTTGGGAGAAAACTCCCTGAGTGGGATACTAAGCAGATAAATAAACATTTATTATATCTTACTAATCTAACTGTTAAACATACCTTTTAAAACTTGCTTGAAAATGTTCCCAGAGATATTTGTAAAATTATACAGCTATTTAAATATTCTTACTATGTTTAATATGTTCTCACATACCTTAACCCTTCGGGCCTTCACATAGAACCTACTTTATTTAGGAAAACAATAAAGTAGTACCTGCCTGCAATAAAAAGTGGAGATTTATGAATGTCTACAAAGCATCTAAGGGTCTTCTCCCCCAAAGAACTTTAGGTCTGGGGATTTTCATCCAGTATCCTCCATGAGAGACATGCATGCTCCTGGTATAATATCTACCATGAACCAGTCATGGTTTTGGTTACCAGACTATATAGGGGGGATAAAATTAAAATTGTTACATATCATCATTCTACTGTCACCTTATAATTTTATACCGAACTAGACAATATAGGCCAAGCTATAAAGTATTAATTTTGTTCCTATATTTTAAAGGTCATTCAAAGTATGACCAAAATAATCATAAACAAATGTGATAACTGGGTTTTGATGGGAGAGTATAGCATTTAAAATATTATAAGAGAGTTATGTCTGAGATTTCTTATTTTTTAAAATGTATATCTTTTTAGTTTGGTGTAACTTTTAGATTAGTCAAATAAATGGCTATACTGGTGTAGAAAATGAAATGGAAGCCATGCTACTCCTAGGGAGGACATGATTATTGTGTTTGAAGAGTTGCTTTAGAAAACAATAGAAACCATAATCATTGTAAGGAACAAAAAAAGACTCAAAACAATGACTTTTTTTTACCAAACACAAATGTTTTAAAATCAAATTACTTTCTCCTACTAACTTTTCTGATGAAATCACCATGATACTACTTTAAATTTTTCTCTTAAAGAGTTCTTACCATGAGTAATAGAGATTGTATTTTATATATTTTTGTTTTCAGGACCTAGTATGTTATCTCATGTAGAAAAGATGTATTTGACAAATAAATAAATGAACTGTGGATACAATAGATATTTGTTAAATAAATAAATGAACTATGAACACAAAAGCATATATAATGTTGTCTCTCATATATATTGGTCTTTGCTTTATAAAGATAGATATACTATAAAAGTTATAACAGAATGTGAGGATATTTGATTAACTTCATTTTGGGTAAAACTCAGTGTTTAGGAAAGACAAAGACGAGAAAAAGTTGGGATTTTGACATTGCAAGTCTAAGATTCTTGTTTTGGATTATACCTGAAAGTGTGATTAGAGGCAAGACAACACCATTATCGACAAAGTTAAAATTTCCCAAAATGCTGAAACTGTGCACTTACTCTTTCATTTCCCAAGAGAAGATGCTTATAACAACTTGTAACAAAATGAAAATGACATGCACTGAGCTATATTAGACTGAGGCTACACTCAAATTTTAGCCATTAGTAATTAACTGGAGAGAGAGGACATTGGAGAGGGCACTGGTTTTAAGTGCTTGTGACAGAAAAATTAATCAAACATATGGCTACATTGAGGTGAAGATTATCATGTCACATAAAATGCAGGTCCCCTGTTCTATAGGGACCTTGGCTAGAGTGGTGGCCCATGCCAAGTTCTTTGAATAAAGAAGTAGATGAGTGAAATTTGATGTTCTGCATAGTTGTTTCAGACATGTTTACTTTAGTAGAGGGTTATGGAAAGGTTGAATCAATAAACACTTTCTTTACAGTCAGCAGACTTGCCGGGGACACCAGTAGTCATATATGAAATGAAGCTGGTCTTTCTCCCCAAATGGACACATTCCTTGTTTCCTGGAAGAAAATTAGATCTCATAGATGCTAATCACTAATAATTAGATACCAAGGCAGAGAATTTGATACTTTGCATTATATTCTGTATAAGGTTTTGAGCAACTGGTAAATGAAAACTCACATGGTATTGTTTTCTGATATCTATATTCATTTCCAATATGAAATTACAACAAATTATAGAATTATTTCATCATTTACATCTCACTAGTTACAAGTTCAAGATGAGCCATGGTGAATTCTATGACCTTATAACCCTACTACCTCACAAATGGATGTTACCTTTCCCATCCTAGTTATGCCTTAATCTGTTCATACAAGGATGTTTTATAAAAAAACTAACATTTATTCTCCACTATAGCATTTTCTTGCCATGTGTCATCGTTAAAATTACTGCACAAATATTCAATTTAGGAATCAGGAGCCAAAACAATAGCAACAGAAAGTAGAAAGCGCAAGGTGAAAAGAACGAAATATTTTCTGCCAAGGCAACTGTTAGGCAATAGAAATAATAGACCTAATGAAGTGTATTTTGAAACTTTACTTTCCTATGCTCCCAAACGTCCCTAATTGATTATGCTAGACAAGTAAAAAAAAAGTTCACTTACAGGACCTTAACTTCACAAGTCATACATAAACTCTTGACAAGCTTAGAATATTCTTGTCTTCCGTTTGCAGGCATGTCAGCTGTAATTACAGCAGTATAAAAAAGCCACTAAACAGGGAAGTTGAAAATAATATGATTTTATGGTATTTGCAATTTGTTTGTAAAGAACTTTACTTCGCATTATATCTTTGACATCAAGTAACCATTATCAGCCATAAGAGTTTGGTTTTCCCCAGACAAAAGATTTTAGACATCTCCTTGGACCTGGTCCAGCTTGACTACAATAAGGTGTTTATTTTATTTCTTCTCTTGTTTTGCTTGTTAGGTGCCCACAACATACAGGTGCACATCAAGCACTAAAGATTTTCCCTTGTTCTTGAAATAGAAGAAAGTGATGAGGAAGTACTTAGTGAACTGGAGAAGGCTCAAAAGCAGGTGGAGAAGCTGAGCTATGACAGGAAGATTATCACTGCCAGTGAAGCCAAACTCAGTGAAATGATCTCCTCTGTGCTTCTGAGTTGGATGGCAGAGGTAGTGATGGCAGGAGAGCCTGAATATCCAGACCAAGGAAGACTTGCTGGCAGTGGAGCCAGCTATACAAAGAAAAGGCTGATGTGCTACTGAACAAGATGCCAGAGAATATTAAATACATCAAAAGTGGATAAACTAAGAAAATATTTAGAAGCTATTCTTTGTCAACAAGTGGGTTTCCACAATAATTTTTATAATCAATCTTTTTTTTCCTTTAATTTTCTTTTATTACTGGTGACAAGTTGTGATAAAGTCTTATTCTTGTCTTCCTTTTTGTTCTTTCCAGTCTTTTCTCTCCATCTTTCAATGAACAAAGTCTGCATTTGTGAGAAGGATAAGCTGGTTGAGTGGTCATGTAAAAAAATAGTTATAGAGAGCTGAAAATATGAATGCACAAAAAATGTTCATGACAACCTGATCAGGAAAAGTTGGAAATGTTCTAAAGTTGAATAAATTATGCTACAGTTTAAAAGAATAACACTCTGCAGCTATATTAAACAATGAAATAAAGTGATATACATTGATATAGGAATATATCATATTTTAATTTAGCATAGTATCGTGTATTTTTAAAAAATATAACACAAATGTTAATAATATCCCCTTAAGTGTTAAGATTATGAATGATCACAAAAGTGTTCACAAATTCTCCCAACACAGATCCTCCTACCAAACAGTAGATTCTATTTCTCTACTCTTGAACCTGGCTTTGCCATGTGAATTGCTTTGCCCATGGGTTATTGGCATACAGAACACAAGTAGAGGCTTGGAAAGAGTTTGTGAATTGGAACTGGACTCTTTCCTTCTCCTGGGAACCCTGCCATCACCACCATGAGAACAAAGCTGAACAAGCCCGTTGGACAACCCCTACACAACTCCCAGAAACAAAACCGCCTAACTTCGTGGCTCCAGTGGAATCTCTCAGGTGAGTCCAGCCCAAGATTCTGACTCACAGAAGAGTAAGTTAAAAACATCATTATTTCATCAAGCCTGTTATGCAGCAGAAGCAACTGTGTTCTTGTGTGTTTGTGTGTGTATGTGGCTGTGTCTGTGTGTACACTTACATCTGTTTCTAATGGGATATAAACCAGATATAAGCAGGGATTTGTTTTATCCTGGGAGATGGGATTATGGGTGAATTTTATTATGTACTTGTCCATCCACTTTCACTTTTATTTCCCCTCTCTTATAATCATAGCTTATCTATGTGCTTTAAAAGCACACAAATTAAAAAAAAAAGAAATGAAATGAAATTAAAACGATTGCTTTAGAAAAAGGAAGAATTAATTTTCGGCATAATTGTTTGCATCATCTATATTTCCAAAGTGATATTTTGATAGCCTCATTAACCATCCCGACTACATGCTACCAGAAGTTTTGTAAAAAGCAGTGTAGAGTTGTTCCACTTAAGTTCTTCTGTCTACATCACTTTATCCTCTCTACTTCAATAAAAAATTGGAAAATTAAGATGCTGATTACAAATGACATTTTGTCCCAATGTTTCTAATTATTATACTTTTTCTTAATCTGTTATTTATATAAAACCTAAGTAAAAGTGAGAAAATATAAAAATATGAACATTTCAAACCCAAATGGATGATACCAGAATGATAACACAGGTGACTGGACCAGGCATCTGGTTGAGTAGTGAAGGAAATTTTGAGGGACGGAAGGGGTATTTGCCAGATAAGAGCCAGATAGATATCTTATACGCTGGCTCTTATGCACATTGAATATTTTAAGGATGAGAAAGAATAAAGAAACCACAATAGAAACTCTCAGCAGCTGACCAGTGAACCACAAATATCTTTGGAGAGAATAAGTCACTTTTATACTTTGTATAATCACACTGTATTTTAGAATTCCCAGATTTACCATCTCATTTTTTGCCAACTGCCCTTTTACATTGGATGACTGACTTAATGTTCCTTTGCTAGTTTACAGGTTCGATTATCAGTTCATTGAAGGACTATTCCATTTGCAGAGTAATTTTGAACATATTTCTTCACTTTTGTTTGGATTCTGTGTAGTATTCATGAGGACAAATCTTCAATATATATCAAATATTTAGACTATATTTTCAGAGTTTAGGAATGTACCCTTAACCAGATCGAGGAGGCTGAGTCATTTGAGAAAAGATTGAGTCTGACAGAAAATATTCAATTAGGATTGTGTGAATGAAAGAGCAGGGAGCAAATATAGGCAGCTGGATTGGCTTTTCAACTTTTGTACTTGGTCCCAAAGCTCCCTTTTCTTCTTCTTTTGCTTATTAGGATGGTATCTGGGGGTTGGGGAGTAGGTTCATTGTGACAAGTAGTATGTGCTATTCTGTGGGATCTTGAAGACTTCATCCCAAATATCTGTTTTGTCACAGTGTTTGTTTTTCAAACAGTTTGACATTTTCAGTGGCCAGCAGCCTGGAAAGTTTGCCTTCCAGATGTCATTTCTCTGAGCACTGATTTCCATGTGGTCGATTTCTGCCCCCTTCACAAACTGTATGCCAAATCCATATCCCTAGCTCATCATTCTGGCTGTCTCTGAAATACAATTATCTATCATGGTTTTCCCTCCAGACTGACAAATATACTTTTCTGTAAGCTCACCTAGCCAGACTAATTGTGTCTGAAGATTCTGCTCATAGTGAAACATCTTTTATTGTCTTCTTGGTACTACATTCTTTCAGAACAACTACATGTTTTATAGTAGTTTTCTTTCTATTTTGGACCATAAATGTATCCCAGATTTCCTGGCTTCTTATTATTTGCTTGATCATTTGCTTTTTGTTGACAGCTAATAATTGTTCCTCTTTATGTGGTGCATTGTGAAGTTTTAATGCACTAATACACTCTATATCAATAAACTCAAAGTTATCCTTCATCTCAAAGAGTTATCATTTCTTTAAAAGAATATTCACACAAGAAAAACACTAACATATTCTGAGAAATAGGGTCCATGATATAAGTTTATGTTTTACAAATCAGCTACTTGTTTGAATTTTGTGGATTAGTTTGTTGTTTTCTGGTGATCTTCAAAGGTATTCTATTCTTACATTGCATACTAAATGCAGAAATTTTACTTAGAATGAGGCAAAATATAAAATAAAATTTACCTGGATGCAAAAATGGGGATAAATGTTACCTGCAAAAAAACATAGAGGAACAAAAGCACGTTACTATTTGTCTGGAAGTAGGGATAAAAATGAACCCTGCCAGTCAAAGTATGAGGGATCTTATCCGGATGAAGAAAATGTTCTAAAGCTAGATTTTGTCAATGCACAGCAGAGTGAATTCCTAAAAATCATTGATTGGAACTTTTAAAATGGGTAAATGATTAAATATATACATTATAATTTTATAAAATTGTTCAATGAAGGAGTAGTATCTGTAGAAGATTAGTTTGCTGATAAATTAGAATTATTTATCTAAAAAAATCTTCTGGGCTTTAACATTCAGTAATATTAACCAAGATTTGTATTATTGATGTTCATAAAAATCAAATCAATTCCAAGTTTCTTTTTGTTCTTCAGCAGCTATACTTAGACACACACACATATACACACACTGACCTCTATGTCTGATTCGGTTAGATGCCCCTGAACTTGTATAAAATCCATTAAAACATGTCTCCTTTAAGCCATTTAATTTGTTCTCTCTCGCCATATTTCTTTCTTTCATATTATACAGTTTAGATGTACAATTCTATCACTGGAATGAGAAATATTTAAATTTCTATGAAAATTATGTGTTATTTTTGTTAAATTAATTTTCTCTTTCATCAGCATACCTCCAAGAGTGGTCAGTGACATTTATTTTTGCATACTCAAATACAAACCCTCAAAGTTTCCCTACACCAATTTCTATCAATATACTTTATTTTTTCTTTCAGTCTTGAAGGCCCGGAAGTGTTTTTGAGCTCATCATTGTTTGGAGAATATGAAAAGTTCCACAAACTAATAAGCTTGCTTCTGAAAGACTCCATGCTTTTCTTTCCTCATGGTTTTTAAAGATCTTGTGTAAGGATTATAGTGAGAAACAAAGCAAATAATGAAAAAAAATTCCTTGCTCTGTCACTTTGCTCTATGACATTCTGGTTCCCTTGTGCATTAAAACTCATAAACGACGAGATTTTTGCCATTTTTCTTCTCCCAGAAATCTTTTTAATACTACACTTAATTAATTCACATTTATAAACATTTTAATAATAAAAAATATAAAATCTGAAAAACCTTGACAAATATGTGTATTGTAGGTGGCAAATAGAATATCTAATCGCTCTTTAGAAATTCATGATATCCCACAGTGAGAAGTCTTGTGCTGGAGGAAACCTTTTGTATTCAGCTTAAGGCGGAATTCGTTAAGGTGTTTTCAACACAGAATATTTTAATAACATTTCTAGAATAATCCTGTACAGGACTATTGAGCAAAAATTAGCCTGACAAATGTTATCTATGAGACTGAGTAGATGAGCAAAAGAATCTAATTGCCTGTCCTTCTGAGGTGAAAGAATTTTGGTACACACCCCATTGAAACTTTCCTCTATCCTAAATAGGTTACGTTTCACATTTATGCAACTTGGCTTCATCTTTTGGAGGAGTTTCAACTTCCTTCTTTTCTTATGTCCTTGAACCTCTCTGGGTCTTTTGCCTGGGTGAAGTGGGTATGATAATAGAACTATAGCATAGACATTCGGTAAGTGTTTTGCTTAAATTGTTTGAAGCCATGCCTGAGTAACTGTGCCAGAATGTGACGTTGTAAATACAGAGTTTGATTCTTCACCAGAAATGCACTCGTATTTCTGGGTTAGCCAGAAAAATTTGAATTTAAATGGTGTCTTCTCTATGCCTGGGGCGTTTTACCAAAGCAGCATAAATTGTGTGAGTGCAGCCAGGGACAGCATTAGCCAGATCTCAGAGGGAATAAAATGGCGCCTCACACTGAAAGCAAGTCATCATTACTACTTAATCTTTCTAGGAAAACAGTGTCACACAAAAACATTTGAATCTATAATTGACATCTTTAAGGATGCTTGCCATCTGGACCTCACTCGGTTTAATTAGTCATTGCAGGGTGGTAGTGCTCTTGTAAAACTCTTGCACTCCATTAACCTTGACTTTTCACACGTTGACATTTCAAGCCCCTTCTTTGCTCTTCTATGGCAGAGTGGACACGTTTCCATTTAATGGGAGTCCACCTCAGGGTTCGTGAGCCAGACGCTTGTTATTTGGCAAAGCCACCGAGCCCACGTCTATAAATGGTGGCAGCCAGGAAAGGTTGCAGGCAGCTAAAAATGGCAAAAGAACAGGAGTCATAGGAACCACCCCACCCTTCCTTTGGAGACTTCCAAACAGCATGGTGAGCAAGGACTGGGAAGGGTAGCGGAGGGAAATAACCTGAGCACAACCTCAACGTGGACTCATGCATGAGAGCAATTTTATTCAGCTGAGGATAGCCACTCAGTCTGCATTTTAAAAAATAATTTCTGAAGTTAAAAAGTTAGACCAGTTCATGATTTATTTCTTTAGCATTTAGGTGAACTTGGAAACACAGAAGTAAGGCTACTATGTTTCAGGGAAGTTTGTTGTCATTTGATAATGTTCGTTCTTATGATTTCACATATTTTTAGATCGATGATTATATTCTGGGAGTAGATGTCAAAGAGGAGAGTGGCCACGGCTGGTCTATAGAATATCTATTTCACATCGTTGTTTTTTTTTTTTTTTAGTTTGATGTCATGAAGTGGAAATGGCCAAAGATCCAGTAAGAATGATGTAAAGGTATTTACAATAGGACTGACAATCTTGCTTCTTATAGTTTAAGAAGAATAAATTTTGTAGCTTGTGATTCTCTCAGTTCTTCCCTGAGATGGAAAATCTGATTCTTCTGTTCATCTTCTAATACTTCATTTCTAATGTTATGTCTATGTTTTATCATAAGTATCATTGTGTCTACTGAAATCAAACGTTATCCCTAGAGTGTTTAATAATTTTCAATTTTTTCAAAATTATTTTATTCATTTAATAAACATGTGTTACAATTCAGACTTTGGATAGTATAAAAAAACATGAAATGTAAGTTTTAATGTGTAACTTTATTCCCCGGATTCTGTGTAGAGAAAGGGAGTCCAGAGAGAGTTGGCAGCTAGCAATAGTATCTAGGAAATGAAATCTCCTAAAATATGCAAGTGATTCCATTTTCAGTGGTTCTCCCATGTGTCTGAGCATTTCACCAGGATTTCTAGAAAGACAGCTGTTATAGCAGGAATGCACAGAGCTCTGGGAATAATGTATTGGTCAACCAATTGATTGATTTGCTTTAGCTGTGGTAGCTAGATGTTATATTTTAGAATTGAGAAAAATACATGTCATGATCCTCCCCAAACAGGCTTCTTGGTTTAGGTCAGAAGGCTAGCTACTGCCTTGTACCTATATAATCTAATCTGTACTATAATATGCTATTGAAACAGAAATTCCCTGGAGGTTGTTCAGAATTTGGGTGGCACAGGGGCCAAACATGACATTATGAGATTCTGGTACATCAGAGAAGGTCTCCAAATGGGAAGGCACATGTGAGTACGGAATGGCTTGAAATACAGATTTAATAAAGGTGAAATCAAACTCTAAAAAGACCCTTATGAGTTACTGACCCCAAAATATCTGTACAAGTTTTCAGAGTACATGTAGAAATATTTTGATGATGGTGTGTCATGGAGGCCCTTTATTTTCTACTACTTTGCTGCTTATCCATTGTTATAATAGTACTATAATATCAAATGATGTCAAAGCTGGGTACAGCAGGACATTAAGAATTTTAAAATCATGAGAGTCTAGGTTTGGCTGCTGTTTTAGGTTGAACTCACCTGGGTATTTCTTTGGTCTCAGATGGGACCGCTCAAGAATCTAGCAGACAGTGGTGAGCTGAGGCTAACATGGTAAACGGGCCTGTGTTTCTCAGTCTATAGCAGGCTAGCTGGTCATGTTTTTATGAGGAAGATGGAGAGAATGCACATGATCTCTGTGGTTGATGCTTGAAATGGATACACTGTCACATGTATAGCATTCCACTGACAGATATGTGTCACATGCAAGAGTGAGGAGACAGATTCCACGGACTCCACTAACCTAGAGAATGGAATTACCAAAGCATGTGCAAAAGGGTGTGGGGAAAAAGAATGAAGGATTGTGGCTGTTAATATAGTTAGTCCACGTCTATTTATTCCTCACCAGAAGTACTGTTATTGGAAAATTTTAATTTTCTCAAGCTAGACTTTATTAGAATATCAAATTATATGAAGGCATATAAAATGTCAAAAACAGATAAAGAGACATTATGGAGAAATCTTTTGAGATGACTTAAAATTCTACTCATAGGGCCCGGGATTTAGCTCAGTGATTTTGCTGCCTGCTGTGCAAGCACAAGGACCTGAGTTCGATCCCTAGTATCAAACAAACAAACAAACAAACAAACAAATTTCTACTCATGTAGTGCAAGAATGATCCTTTTCCTTCAGTCGGTATAATAAACCCCCTGCCATTTTCAGTAAAATACCAATTTCAAATGCCAATGCATTACATGGTATCATTTCTAGGAACTGGAAATGCATGATACATTGTAAGCAAGTTCTGTTGGAGCTTCCTCTAAGGTTATTGTCCTTTGTTCATGTCTAACTTTTCTTAACATTTTATGTTATTTTCCTTAAAGCAGTATCCTGGTGTTATAAGTAAAGAAACAGTGAATTAGTCAGTGGAAAACTGGACTGATTTTTCTCTATCAAAGGTGAAATATTTTCAGTGATAAAGCTACAATTTGAAAATTTGGACATAATGCATGAGTTAGCTATATTCTAAGTGTCTCTTAATAAAAATACTGCACCAGCTGGAAAGAACAGATTTTAAATATGTGGAATTTATTAATTATAAGCAAAGAAACTACCATTAGGAGACTTTTTCACTTTAAATAGTTTTAAGCAAAAGCAACATCTTCCTCAGACTAATTTACAAATAAGTTTCTGTTAAATATTTTGCAAAATAGAGCAAAATAAATTACCTTCACAAGTACACAGCCAACTGCTCCTTTTTGGCAAGGGCTGAGGACGTTTTTCTGAGCCCTGGGACTGTGAGCATTAAAATTTGAAATGTCTTGAGGAAACTGTGATAAGTTTGTTCTTCTATTCACAAATGTGTCTTTTTGGAAGGACAGCTGATAATCTGTTAATATTCTGCAAGGATTAAACAAAGCATATTTGGTTAGGTTGAGTGTGAAAGTATTTTGTATAGGTTTTAGAAGTACCATAGCTGTCTTGCATTTTATATGGAAAATTCTAAATTATTCTACTTTACTGCTGATAGCTTAACCTGAAAGTAAGAAGCAGAGTATAATTTCTTTCACTTATAGAAGTTTTGCTAAAGGAATAAAAGTTGTTTCATATAGCGCAAAAGAGATTTTGTTATTTTTAATAATTAAAAAATACAAGCTAAGCCATCTATTTCTATTTTTTCTCTTCCAAATAAAGAAGTTGCCCTAAATGGTTTCTAAGATGTTTCCAGCTATGATGTTCTGTAACTATGTTCATAATAAAATGTATTCTCTATTAAGAAAAAAAGTTCTGTACCAAGCAGACTGACTATTAAAGAGTTAAATAGTCCTGGGGAATACTGCCATTTAACAGAACATTTAAACCAACTAAGTATACTAACTACTGTTATTGTTTATTTTCTTTCTAGTCTAGGGATTTTTTTTCTTTTTAATCTGCCAGAAGGGACCTTAAGGATTTGAGCCTTAACATTGTTCCTAAGACTTCAATTTATTTTTTAATTAGGGTTAAAATAAAAATAAATGTTCGCTTTCTGGAATTATGCAAGTTGGAGAGGAGGGGAGAAACTTCCTCATCTGAAAAGACTTAATGGTAATCTATACTGTAAAAGAGCATTTTGAAAAATATAAAACAAAGAGCTTTCAAAGTGGTCAAAGACTAATGTAAAGTGATATATTTCAGACCGGAGAGATGGTGTAACTTACTCCTGTCACTGCTGCCTGTTTATTGTGTTTGTCTGGTTGGCCTGGTAACTAGCTCATGCCATTTCACTCATTTTATAATGTTCCTGTAAATGTTAGGTAGGCCTGGATTTATTATACACTGTCAACACCTAAAATGGAACCCACTGCTTAACGTAGTTTATTTGGCTGGATGCCTCTGCCTTCTTTAAAAAAATTGTGAGTGTGCGTGTGTGTGTGTGTGTGTGTGTTAAAGAAAAAAGAAAGTCCTCTAGTGCCTCCAAAAGAACTGTAGCCCAGACACAACTGAAGTTGGGTGTCACAGGCTATGTCAAAGGAGCATTTGAGCTCAGTAGCTGTTGTGTTGTTGGGTGGGAACATCTGACTCACAATATTTGTGACTTGGATTTAGAGGGACAGAGGAGCAAGAACCATATTTATTGCTGAATTTATCATCCCAAAGAAACCAGATGGCAGTTGCTGGTGTCCAGAAAGGCCTCTGAGCCATCAGGGAATGAATCATAAGACTATTAGAAGTTGGACAGATTTCTTTCCTTCTTATTAACTTACTGGTTTCATCTGCCCAGTTCATGACAAAGCAAGTTTGATGGGGTACCCAAAGATATGATCCTGGAGAACATTTTGGAAAGCCTTAATCAACCTTATATAGACTGTAAGATAGCTGGAGCATTAAGGTGAAAGGGATTCAAAGTATCACTGTGGTTTTAAAATATGAAAGGGAAATGTGATACTCTACCAAGAACAGAAGTAGTCGACTCAGCACAACACTAATGACCATCACACGTAGATACATGTGCTGTTTGGCCCTTGGTCAACCCCACATCCAACCTGTGTCTTTTTCATTCAATCTGTTCAGGAAGGAGGGCTGTTAGTTAGAGTGGACTCTTGTTGAGAGCTCTGCTCAGTATCAGTGAAAAAGTCATTAAATTTTGTACTCTTTTTGCTCCTTGGGATCCTGTCTGTCCCCTTGTGCATTTTAAACAAGATGCTTGAGTATCTGGCTAAACCCAAAAGTTCACAGAGACTGGAACACTCTCTTGCCAGTGTCTACTAGGAGTGATATTCTCGGAACTTCCCTCCTAGTTGGGTGTCTAATCATTACTTAAAAATAAAAACAAGTGAGTTGATTCTAATGAGAAAAAAATGTCCACAAGAATTCCTGCAATTAAAAAAAAAAGCTACTCTAGGTAAGTGTTTACTTTTATTAGTCGATTAAATATTAGGAGTATAGCTCAACATTGTTTGAAATTATAAATCATCATTTGGAGGAACATTTTTGAAAGAGTCATATTATTTAATTGCACTACAGTTTACTCCTATCCTCATATCCAGAATAAGTGCTTTGAGAGTTAGGTAGTGAAGGCAATTTCTCCTGTCTAAAAAACTTTCCATCTAATATCCATCTTCCAAACTTAATGAATGTAGGTTATAAGCTTCCTGAATGAAAATTAGGAAATTTGCTTTTAGAGATCTAAATAATATGTGTTCTTTGACCCAAATTAAATACTTTAGAGAATTATCCTAAAAATGGTATGTGTATATCCTATATTTGTATTAAACATATATAAATATATGTGTAGAAAATATGAACATAACTAAAATGTTCCAAAGTTTTAGGAGAAATTTTCATTTGTATGATATAAATACACAGAATTTGGATTTATAGCTGTGTCTGTGCCTGTATATATGTGCATGTATGCTTCTTTTATGTTTGTATTGCTTCATATGTATGTATGCGTTGAGCAGGTGCATGTAGTTTAAT